GAATAGTAACCACTAAATGGGGTGAATATGGCATTGTATAGACGCTACATGGCAGTAGGGGAAAGATGGTTCTCGCTGTCCTCCCAGCACAACTGCTTTTATTCTGCTCAGTCCAAGCTGATTTTCATTCTTCTGATAGTCCTGGCCCAAACCAGGAATCATCGCGCAAAACCAGGTAGAATTTGGTTTCTGCCTTTGGAGCACCAGATTGCTTTCAGACACATGTTAACACTTAGACGTTATTTTCACTTCAATATTTCCATTTTCATCTTGCCCCTTTCTTACCTGTACATCATAAATTTACCAAGAATGGAGCCAAAATGAGAGTAAAGAAAGAAAACTGAGCGAGAAAGTTGAGATGTGGCAAAAAGAAAGTGTTGAATAAAGTGAAAGAGCGAAGAAACTAGACACAGAGAAAAGGAGAAAATGTTTTCTGGGTGCCCATGTAGCAGAAGCGTTGGTGCAGGTGTATAAGCAGTATTCATAAAATGGAGATGTTTAACCTTCCCAGTGATCCTGGGTTTATAGAGGTCATAAATGGAAAGATCAAGAGCCAAATGCAGCCATGGTTCATTTGGGTTACCTGGTAGTGTTCAAAATATATTTGAATTAGATACCAAAAATTCAATAATTTGGGAAATTTCACTATAGAATCTAGATTCCTGGTTCATCTGAAAATATGAGATGGGTCTTCTTGCTCACTTGCTACTAGACCTATGGCCTGCTTTACCTGTTTTCATTGCCTACCTGGCTGCTGTAGACATTTTTATTTGTGACTTCTGAGAATTCTGCAACTTATACAGAAAATACAAAAAGTAACTGAGAAAAGCTGAAACAACTCCACCACAGTCTGTGTTTGCCTTACTTACTACGACTGAAATAGTCATTAAATGAAGACCTGAAGAAAGAAACCAGGGGCAAGACCTTGTTAGAGAAGAATTGTAAAAAGTACTTAGAAGCAGACAGATTGGAAGGAATGGGGCACTGTTGCATAAATATGGTTTCATATGTAACTTAGAGACTACTGGAGCAAAAGACAGCATTAGAGATTATCCAGTTCTAGTTCAACTCTGTCATTTCACAAATGGGAAAATCATGGTTGGAAAACTGAAGAAATCCTCTTAAAGTCACTGAAATAAGTAATAACAGAATCATGTCTGGAAGCCTCCTGAATTTTCTCCATCCACTGTACTTATCTCTACCCCATATTTCTTCTTTTGTAATTATCCTCAACAAATTATTATTTGCTCCATTTTAAATTTTCATTGTAGTAAAAATATTTAACATGAGACCTACCTTTTCATGCATCATACGGTATTTTTTTTTTAACCATAGACACAGTTTTGTTCAGCAAATCTCTAGAACTTACTCATTTTACACACGCAGAACTTTTTACCTGTTAAATAACTCCTCCCTGTCTTCCCCCCAAACCTGGTCCCTGGCAACCACCATTCTATTCTCTTTTTCAGTTTGACTATTTTCAAATACTTTGTGCAAGTGGAATTGAGCAGTATCTGTCCTTCCATGACTGTCTTATTTCACCTAACATTTCATCCCCATTCTCAGATATGGCAGGATTTCACATGCATATGTCACTTCGTCTTTGTTCACCTGTCCGTGGACACTCAGGTTGTTTCCATACCTTGGCTACTGTGAGTAATGTTGCGATGAACACGGGAGTGCATGTTATCTCATCCAGATCCCGATTTCAGTTCTTTTGACTATCCAGAAAAGGGATTGGTGGATTAAAAAGGTAGTTTTGGGGTTTTTCTAAATAGTTATTTTATTTAACTTTAATTTGACCAGAAAGGGACAGAGAGAGAGAGAAAGAGAGACAGTGAGAGAGAAAGTGAGAAAGCAAGCTGCCAGGTCTAGGACTCGAACTGTGGTCAGCCATGTGGGGGTCCAGTGCCCTTAACCACCATACCACCTGTCAGCCAAATATGGTAGTTTTGTTTTCATCTTTTGAGGAACCCCTGTACTATTTTTCATAGCAACATACCATTTTGAATTACCTACAACAATGTGCAAAGGCTCCAATATTTCCACACCTTTACCAACATTTATCTTTTGTGTGTGTGTGTGTGTTTTTTTTTAAATACTAGTCATGCTAACAGGCATGAGATAATATCTTGTGGTTTAGATTTGCATTTCCCTGGTGATTAGTTGAACTTTTTCTCATATATCTATTGTCTTTGGTATGCTTCTTTGGAGAAATGTCTACTTACATCCTTTGCCCATTTTAAAATCAGGTTATCTAGAGGCTATTTTTTCAACTGAATTTAGGAGTTCATTTTATATTTTGGGTATTAACACTTTATCAGATATATGATACGTGAATATTTTCTCCCATTCTGTAGATTGTATTTTCACTTTCTTGACTCTTTCCTTTGCCGTGCAGAGGCTTTTTTTGTTTGATGTAATCTTGCTTGTCTAATTTTATTTTTGTTGCTTATACAGTATCCAAGAAATCATTACCAAGTCCAGTGTTATGAACCTTTTCACCTATGTTTTCTTGTAGGAGTTTTAAAATGCCAGGTCTTACATTTCAGTCCGTAATCTATTTTGAGTTGATTTTTGTGTATTGGGGAAGACAGTGTCCAATTTTAGGGGGGTTTGTTTTGTTTTGTTTGTTTTTTGGCATGTGAATATCCACTTTTCTGAGTACTAATTGTGAAAGAAACAGTCCTTTTCCCTTTATGTATCCTTAGCACCCTTATCAAGAATAAATTGACCACATACAAGTGGGTTTATTTTGGGGTTCTCTATTCTGCTATATTGGTCTATGTGTCTTTCTTTATGCCTGTACCATATTGTTTTAATTACTATAGCTTCATAATATATTTTAAAATCAGGAAGTCTGATGCTTCCAGCTTTGTTATTTCTCAAGATTGTTTTGTTTATTCGAAATCTTTTGGGATCCCATATGAATTTTAAGATTTTTTTCTGTTTCCGTAAAAATGTGCCAGTAGGATTTTTTAATCGGTACATGAGTTTCAGTACTATGGTCATTTTAGCAGTATTCTTCCAATCTATGAGCATAGGATGTCTTTCCACTCATGTATGTCTTCTTGAATGTCTTTCAACAATGATATGTAGTTTTTAGCAAACAAGTTTTTCACCTCCTTGGTTACATGTAATCCTAACTATTCCTTTTTTTATTAATTGTCAAAGGACATGTGCACTCATGAGAGAAAAAGAAAACACCTCCCAAGGGTGTGGCCATGCCACAAACCCCTTACTCCATTTCTTCCTCCTGTTAGGATTCAGGGCATGTACCCAAGTGAGTCTAGCTTGTCTTTCAAGCCTGCAGGGTCAAGATTCAAACCACAGTCAGACATAGAGGATATAGATCCCAGAGCACAGTACATAACTACTGTGCCACAGGGTCAGCCCAGTATTTTTTTTTAAGTTGTATTAATTTTACTCATGATCGAATGTATGAGCATATACATGAGAGAGAGAGAAAAAAAAGTTCCCTAATGGGGTCTCATCATACCATGATCCCTCTTCTTTTATTTTAAAGAATTACTTTATTGAACTTTATTGATTTATTTTAATTTGACCATAGAGGGGGGACAGAGAGAGAGAGAGAAAGTGAGAAAGCAAGCCACCAGGTACAGGACTCGAACCACCCACAGTCAGCCATGTGGGAGTCCAGCATGTCCAACCACCACTCCCCCTACCAGTCTCAACCATGATCTCTCTTCTCTTGCCCTCCAACTTGTCAGGATCTTGGGCATGCACACAGGCACCTGTGTTTTCAGGCTAACCCGTTCAGCCATAGGACTTTCAGCACTGAAGCTCACTTTGCTGCTGTCTGCACTACGAGGCTTGGCCATTCTATTCTTTTTGATGCTACTGTATATAGAATTGATTTCTTAATTTCTTTTTAGTCAATAGTTAGTGTATATAAACACAACTGACTTTTGTAGGCTGATTTTGCATCCTACAACTTTACTATATGCCTTATTCTAACATTTAACAATACAAACAGTATTATGTATTAAATATTTATTCTCTGTCAATATCAGAATCAGTAACCACAACGTAGTCAGAGGCACCTTTTAAGATTCCATTCAGATTATTTGGGCCAGTAAGGTACAGTTCTGGAATCATAGCACTTTGAGTTCTACTCAACTTATTAATGGTAAAGTTTTCCTTTAAGCCGTTCCACAGTTTATGTCTCATTGGAATCATGGACTCTAGAACTACATAAAATACTGACTATTTAGAACTGGGATGAGGCATAGGGGTTGCTATTTTAATAAAAGAAAGCAAGCACACATAATGATACTCTAGAATCCTACTTTAAATGAAGTGTGGAAAAATTTTTTGCACTTATACTCTATATGAATCATTGATGTAGAAAAATCAAACTGGAGAATTAAAGAAAATATGTGGAATTTGGTATGCATAATTATCAAGTTCAAGGAAGGTTCCTTATTCATTCCTTCACACCCTCTGACACTGAATAGAACTGACCTATGTAACTAAACAGATAATGTGAAAAAAATGAGAAGACTATAATGCTTATTTGGTGGCTCTTTTCTATAGTTTCAGCTATCTTCCAGTTTTGTAATACTCTTCTCCTTGCGCTGAGTCCCTTCATCCCAAGGATTACTGATAATCTCTGCATGCCTACCATCACGCACAGTAACAGTACTTTCACTAATACATCTTTGTTTGGACCATTGTCTTGGTTCATTATTGGGTTGCTGACAGAAGTACCTGAAGCTAGATAATTTATATAGAATACAGAGGTTTATTTGTAAAACTCGTGATTTTGGTGGCTAGAAAAGTCCAAAGACATCATGGAAGACAGAACTTTAAGCAGAGCAGACAGTGGTCTGTATAAGTTTCTCTCTTGTGCTGGTCTCATTATCTCTGCTTATAAACCCACTAGAACTCAATAATAGGAACTCTGGTTTAATGAACTTATCACATCCAAAGACCTCACCCTAGGACACCATGGAGAAATTGTATTTTCACTTAATACCTTTACAATTCAACCAAGTCCTAACGCATGGATTTTGTGGGAATATGTAAACCATAGCAACCAAGGAGAAGAATTCTGTTACTTCTAGGCACCATTACTGATACACATTTTGTGTGCTAGTCAGATGCTTCATATGCATTTTTAGTCTAAATATGATGTCCAAGTTACAGGTGCTATTGTTATCTTCCTTTTACAGGTGAGTTAACTCTTTACAGAGTTAACATAATGGCTACATACGATTGCACCAGAGAGTCTGCAGACATCTACACAGTAAGTGGTTTATAAACAATGATGTGTCAACAATTCCTAAAATCAAACATGGAGATAACAGCTAATAGGCCATAAGACTGATATATGCTAGTTGATTATATGCTTGGATGAAAAAAATACACTTTTCTTGCTTTAAAGAAAGAAAAGGCCAATGGTGGCATGATGGTTAAGGTGCTAGGACCAGCTGGGCTGGCGGTGATGTGATGGTTAAGGCACTGAATTCCCACATGGCTAGCCATGGTTTGAGTCCTGGAGCCAATGGTGGAAAACCACATCAGGTGTGTGTGTCTTCATGTCCAAAGTTCTGAGAGGAGAATGAAGTAGAAGGGATTACAGCATGACCATCCCCTCTAGGGGGTGATTTCTCACTTTCCCTCTCTCTTCTATATATCTCTCTGGCAAATGCACAAACCCTATAGCAAAAATTGGGGCTAGCAGGTGGCATGGTGGTTAAGGATGCTAGACTCTCGCATGGTGAACCAAAGTTCAAGTCATGGACCTGATGGCTTGCTTTCTCACTTTCCCTCTCTCTCTCCATTTCTCTCTGGTCAAATTGGAGAATAATAATAATAATAAATAGAGTTAAAATAATTCTTTAAAAAATTAATGAATTTTTTAATAAAAAAGAGCAAACTTTCCTATCAGGGCTTCATTAGGATAGCATGGATATATAGTACAGACAGTGACTGGGCCACTTCCAGACTGTTCCCCAGCATTGCCGTCCTTGACCTTTTCCCCTAGGTCCAGTTCATCTCTGGAGAGATATATCCTGGTTAGTTTATTTTCCCTATGATTATTACAAAAGGAACCAAGGACACTTCTCTCATTGGCTTATTTACACTTACGTGTCAAACTGAGAGACGACAACGTAACTGTAGTTGGCTCAATTGCTTTATCTCATTTAGGAGGCAGTTTGATAAGTCAAAACATTTTCTATCAAGATTTTCCAGACTACTAGTCAGACTAGCTGGGATTGAATCCCAGTTCTATCATCTTAATTCCTGTGACCTGAGAAAAGTTATATAAGTTCTCTGGCTATAATAAGCTTGCATAGTTGTCATATCATTTCTCTTCTCTTTTTCTCAGGTTTAGATGACTCTGACAAACATTTCATTTGCTATACAGCATGGGTGACTTTTTTTAACTTTCTTTCCTCCAATTGGAGTCCAGTCTGGTTTCCACTCTTAGTTTCTGTTATCATCTTCTGTTTTCTTTTCTGTACCTCATGAAAACAGGAGGGAAGAGAAAGGCTTGGGAGGTATTATCTAAGCAAGCAAGATACAGGCTGCATTAGAAAACCTGGATTCTGCTCTCTTTGTTAAGTTTCAGTTCACTCCATCTAGGTGAGAATTTTCTCTCATTCTCATGGTGGGATATCCTCAGATATCAGATAGTTTCTCAGTACAACTTGGGATGAGTAGCTGGATAATGGGGCAAAGTTAGGAGCTAAGTTCATTTATACTTCTCCACTTGTTTTAGAATGCTATGTCTTTGTGTGCTTGCTAGCATTTTCTTTTTCTTTTTCTTTTCTTTTTTTTGGAGAGGTTTTTGCTATAGGGCACGTGTGCTCACCAGAAAGACAAGAGAGAGACAGAGAGACAGAAAGCGAGAAATCACCCCCCCAGGGGGGGCATGGCCATGCCACAGTCCCCTCTCCTCCATTCTCCTCTCTGGATCTTGGACAGCCTCCTCCTACTGGTCCCCCTTATTTTATTTTTCTAAGATTGATCTCAAATTCAGCTTTTGGGATATTTATTGTTAGATTGGTTCATCATGGGGAGGTACTGGGGAATTAGAGATTTCCAAACATATATACAGACAAATTTACATAAATATCAGAAAATTCAGGGACATCCCAAGCATGATCCATGGGCCCCAGGTAAAAAAAATTCCTGATTGTGATAAGTTATAGTTTCAGTTCTTGACTACTGTACTTAACCAATAAAAAGACTTCCCTAGGGCCAGCCCTGTAGCCTAGTGTTTAAGGTAGATGGATCCCATGACTAATTGTATGGTTTGCATCCTGAACAGGGTGGACTGGAAAACATACAGGGTGCATGTGTGGGTGGGCCCCTAAATCTGAAAGAAATGGAAGAGAAGGGATTATGGTGTGACTAAACTTCACTGGGGGGGAGGGGTGCTTTCTTCCTCTCTTTCTGTTTCTCTGTCTCTCTCTGGTGAGAGTACATGCCCTCTGGAAATTAAAAAAGAAAAAGAAAAGACTATTTCATGTATGCCAGGTGGGAATATACAGATCAGCTAGGGCTGGCTAGAGCTGGGGAAGAATTATACAATCAAGATCCTGTTGGGAACCAGCAGTTAGCGTAATGGCTATGTCGCTGGACTCCCACGTAGTCGACCGCGGTTCGTGTCCCGGACCCGGTGGCTTAAAACTCATGCCGGGCGCGTGTGCGTGCGTGCCCAAGATCCCGAGAGGAGAATGGAGGAGAAGGGATTGCGGCGTGACCATCCCCCCTGGGGGGTGATTTCTCGCTTTCTGTCTCTATGTCTCTCTCTGTCTGTCTGGCGAGCGCACGCGCCCTACAGTGAAAAATCTCTCCAAAAAAAAAAAAAAAAAAGATCCTGTTGGGGATATTGTCTCTCTGTCTATCTCTTTCTCTATCTTATGCATGCACACTCATTGAAGATATAAATAAACTTTTTAAAAACTTTTTAAAGAAAAGGACTTCAGGAAATCATCTAGGTTATCCTACTGTTTTCAGACAAAATAATCTTTAGTAAATGTGGTTTAGAAGTGCTTTCTCACTTTCTCTCTCTGGTGAGTGGTGTGCCCTATAGCAAATAAATAATTTATTTATTTTTTTAAAGAAACAATACCGGGTTCTGGTTTTATAGCTAATTAACTGTATTATCTTTATCATTTATTTAATTTCTCAGCCTCAGTTTTGTCATCTGTAAAATAAAGGGCTTGGAAACTTCAACGTTTCTCTCTCTCTTTCTCTTAAGATTCTCTCTTTCTTTTATGAGCAAGATAAATATATAGAGAAAGTCCCCTCAATAGGCTAAGAGGCTCCTGAGCCTGTGATCTACACCCAGCCTTCCACCAGCCCCAGATCCCGGGCAAACTTTCTGCAACTGCCTCACAGAGAATCATGGTTCACTCCTGCACCACCATCTGGTCCCCAAAACTTCCTCTCATCTCTGTGAGTCTAATAGTAATAATACCATCTAGATAAAAATAATTTTTTAAAATTTATTTTTAACTGCCAGAGGTTGAGGGAGAGTAGAGAAAGCACCCTCCATGAAGTGTGGTCATTTTGTAATCTATTTTTCACCATTTCTCTATCCAGTAGGAATTTGGGGCATGGTGTGCTCACATACACGCTTGGCATGTTTTTCAAGCAACCATGGCCAGAATTCAAAGAGCAGTCAGCCATATGGAATTTGGCTCTCTTAACCACTAGGCTACAGAGCTATCCCTAATAATTTCCTTTTAAATTATAATGAAAAGTCCACAATCTCTGCAATTAATCTTTACTCTGTTTTGTCTGTGACAGTTTTTATTATCAGAAAATTTTCCTGATTTCTATCCTCAATCCTTCACATTGTAGTCTTATTTTTCCTCAGTCCTCTTAATATTCTCTTTCTCGTTCTTACCTAAATCATTTCCAGGCAGGTTAAGTCTTACTAGTGAAACCAAAGGAGGAACTTCCGTCAATTAAAACCTTTTTTCCCACTTTTAAATCATTAATGTGCTTGGTAAATGAGACGAGACCTAGTACTAGCACCCAAAGGCAGGTCATGAGATATTCTGTTTCTCAGATAAGGGGAGCTAAACTGCTGTAGCTGCAGTATCTGGTACTGTTCACTCCTTTATTCTAGATTATACCTTTCTAAGCTTCACTCAGAGAAAAGGTGGCATGGCTAAAGATACCACATTAAAAGAATAAAATAAATATGCAAATACGTGATCTGAATTTAGGGGCATAGTCCATTTTGGGCATCAGCACTGAGTTGCCACACCCTCAAATTTCCACAGGATCCTATTCAGAACACCTGCCCACCTAAAAAAAATCAACCATTTTTTTTCTATATCTTTTTGATTTTTTGAAGAATCAGTTCTTTAGGGGGCCCGGCAGGTGGTGTAGTGCTTGAGGCATTGGATTACTATATGACTGATTGCAATTCGTGTCCTGAACCTGGTGTCTTGCTTTCTCACTTTCTCTCTCTCTCTCTCTCTGGTAAGTGCATGTGCCTGTAGCAAATTAAAACAATAATAATAATAATAATAAATTAAATAATTATTTTAAAAATTAGTTCTTTAATTCTAGAAGTAATAATTACACCTACTTTTAACTTTTTAAGTAATAAGTTAAGACATACAGTTGAAACTAACTCTCTTTTTCTTCTCACTCATCCCAACAGTTCCTAGAGTTGATCAGGGTTACTCATACTCTTCCCCCCAAATCTTCAAATATCTTTAAAATGTGATATCTTAACTGTGCTAGTTCACATTTGGCTTTCTTTCACTTAAGAATTTATCATAGGCGAGACCAGCAGTTAGTGTAATGACTATGTTGCTGGACTCCCATGTAGTCGACCGTGGTTTGAGTCCCAGACCTGGTGGCTTAAACTCATGTGGGGCGCATGTGCGTGTGTGCCCAAGATCCAGAGAGGAGAATGGAGGAGAAGAGATTGCAGCGTAGCCATCTCCCCTGGAGTGTGATTTCTTGCTTTCTGTCTCTCTGTCTCTGTCTTTCTGGCTAGTGCACACGCCCTATAGCAAAAACCTCTCCAAAAAAAGAAAAAAAAAAAGAATTTATCTCACTGTGGCAGCATTTATAGTTTTATTTTACTCTATTTAATGACTTACTTAGTATCCTCCTGGATCCTTGTATATCAGTACATTTTTGGTCTTAAGTGACGGAAGACTTGACTAAAAGCACCTTACATTAAAGGACCTTTATTACTTTTTAGAACAAGAAGTGCTGAGTCAGTTCAATTCACCATTTTAGCAATGTCATGAAGATTCAAGTATTTTCAAGATCAGCTCAACAGCTCAGTAATGTCAGCAATCAGAGTCCTGCCTCTGTTCTGCTACTCCTAGATGAAGGTGAGAAATCCTGTTCTCAACATGGCTGCAACAGCTCTAGATACTATTCATCACGTAGCAGCAACCACAAGCAAAAAAAAGGACTGTTCCTCCTCATGTGCCTCTTCTTTGAATAGAGGAACATTTGCAGGTCACATTGTTCACCATTCAACTACATATCCAATGCTAAAATTAATCTTTGGCAAAGGAAATGAGACCACCATGAGTAGCTTATACAAGGGATTAGCAAACAATGTCTTCTGGGCCAAATTTGGCCCATTGCTTGTTTTTTGGTTTTTTTTTTTTTTTTTGGAGAGGTTTTCGCTATAGGGCGCGTGCGCTCACCAGACAGACAGAAAGAGACAGAGAGACAGAAAGCGAGAAATCACCCCCCAGGGGGGATGGTCACGCCACAATCCCTTCTCCTCCATTCTCCTCTTGGGATCTTGGGCACGCACGCACACGTGCCCAGCGTGAGTTTTAAGCCACTGGGTCTGGGACGCGAACCGCAGTCGACTACGTGGGAGTCCAGCGACATAGCTATTACACTAACTGCTGGTTCCCCCCCCCTTTTTTTTCGTTTATGTGTTTTTGTGTGCCTGTGAGCTATGGGTTTTATCTTTTTAAGTGGTTGAAAAGAATCAAAAGCATAATAATTTTTTTTTTTTTGGAGAAATTTTCACTGTAGGGTGCGTGCGCTCGCCAGACAGACAGAGAGAGACATAGAGACAGAAAGCGAGAAATCACCCCCCCCAGGGGGGATGGTCACGCCGCAATCCCTTCTCCTCCATTCTCCTCTCGGGATCTTGGGCACGCACGCACACGCGCCCGGCGTGAGTTTTAAGCCACCGGGTCCGGGACACGAACCGCGGTCGACTACGTGGGAGTCCAGCGACATAGCCATTACGCTAACTGCTGGTTCCCAAAAGCATAATAATTTTTTGACATAGGGAAATTATATAGAATTCAAAGTTCAGTGACCATAACAAAGGTTTAGGTATAATTTTTAAATGCTTTCAGGTCAGCCTGTGGTGTGGCGGTTACGTGAGCCAGGTCTTACTTAACTGACTACGCAGTTCAAGTCTTGAACCCAGCAGTTTGAGAAAAATGCCGGGCATGTGTGCCCAAAATCCTGAGGGGAGGAAGGAGGAGAAAGGATTGCAGTGTAGCCATTCCCCTGGGAGGTACATTCTCACTTTCTCTCTCTCTCTCTCTCTCTCTCTCTCTCTCTGTCTCTCTTAGGCAAGTGCACACATCTGAAGCAAATTAAAAAATAATCTATGTCTGATTCCTCCCCTCTCAAGCATCTCCAGCCACCTCAAGTATATAACTGTTCCTCCTTCCATTGTGAAACAATTAAAATTCAAGACTTTTCCTGTCTCTTCAGTTTAATCCAAGCAGTAACCTCTAGCTAAAACACTCTTATTTCAGGTCCATCTGGACAATTTTTTAGGTGAAACTTTAAGATGTAACTCGTGTTATTTTCTCTGAAAAACCTTATAGGATCATGTTTGGGTCTCTACCCTTACTTTGTTGTCTTTGCTTGAGTTCCCTAAAAAGAAAAACATAAAAAAGGACTTCCTTACATTCACTTATTTTGAGATGTAATACCATAGAAAAAGAGTTGGGAGTAGGAGACAGGAGTAAACCAAGATAAGGAGAAAAATCAATGCATAGTTACTTCTTTGATTTAGTTATGTTTCTCTTCTTTCTTTTTCTTTTTTTTTTTTTCTTTTACCAGAGCACACATGCACTTGGAGAGAGAAAGAGAAAAAAGTGAGAAATCACTATTCCACCCACATGGAGAATGATTATGCTACAACTCTTCTCTATTTCTCCCTCCTTTTGAGATTTTTAGCATACACACACAGACACAGACATACACACACACACACACACACACACACACACACACAGTGTGTTTTTCAAGCCACCAGGTCCAGGACTCGAACACACAGTCAACCAGGTGAAATCCAGCCACCCTAACCAACATACCACGGGCTGGCCCAAAATGGTTTTCTTTATAGGCAATGGGGTCTCCTCCTACTGAATAGCTTCTGAGGGGTCAAATTTCAGAATTATTTCCCCAGGGGGAAAAAGGCATGATCTCATCCCCCATTGCTCTATGGTTGCCCCAGGGAGGTTTCACTCTATTATACTTCCATGTTTGCATTGCAAAGAAGCCTCAGGATAGAAAGCAAGAGATAGTTGGTGCAATTATCAGATGTCATCTTGGCTCAGTTGGTAGCTATGAATCTTAAATTTAGGGCATGAGATACCTGATATACTCCACAGTCTTTATTGCCCATGTCTGCTATTAGTTTGCTTTGTATGGAGTTCTGCAAAAGATTAAACAGGAGTGTTAGAGGAATAAGCAACAGTCCCTGATGGTGTAATTAGTCTCAAGGCCATGTTTGATACTCATCCTCTTACTCCCACTACTACTTGAGTTAGGTTGCTTTCCTGGTGAGTAGTCCAGTTCTTCACCCTGAAGGGGCAGGAGCCCTTAGCTGCTTGAGCTATATTGGATAAAGACTGTTGTATTTGCACATTTATGGTTATCATTGGATATGGCTGCACTAAGAACTAGAAACGGAAGCACCATGCTAGTTATTGTTTAACCAGATCCCACTGGCATGATGTCATTGGATAGCATGGTATTCTGTGAAATGCCAAGTTGATCAACAACCAATAGTCCCTGTATACTGTGACAGAGAGCAGGAAAATTAACATAGTCCTTAGGCAAGCAGTAAGTGTGTACTGTTTTCTTTCTCAATATAAGGTAAATTGTTTGCTTTTTTTTCTAATAAGCATTGAAAAAGTCCTATTCACTAGAGTAATAACCATATACCAAGAGCTAAAAGCTATGCTGCTTTATGCTAATAGATACAGACCTAAAGACACAGAGCAGCTCTGACTGGGATATCCTTAGATTAAGTTTGCAATGGTCCATCATCATTTGCTATGAAGAATCTGGTTTCTTCAGTGGCTAAGCAAGTTAAATAGGTGAATGCAACAGAAATATGATGGGTACTCACACATCTTTTTGTTAAGTCTTTGAAGATGATGCTAACAGCTATATTTCCTCTCAGGATTGTATTCGGTCTGAATCACTATCTTAGCTAGTGAGGATGTGTAGTTTCAGGGGCTTTCACTGGATCTTCCTACCATAACAACTCTTTCTTTCTTTCTTTCTTTCTTTCTTTCTTTCTTTCTTTCTTTCTATTTTTGCTATAGGGCAAATGCACTCACCAGAGAGACAGAAAATGAGAAATAACCCCTGGGGGGATGGCCATGCCACAATCCCTTCTCCTCCATTCTCCTCTCAGGATTTTGGGCACGCATGCACACACACCCAGCGTGAGATTTAAACTGCTAGATCCAAAATTTGAACTGTAGTCGACCACGTTGAGTCCAGCAATGTAACTATTTCTGCCATCTGCTGGTCTCAACTATCATAACTCTTAGGAAGCCAAGGCAAGGGTTCACCAGTTGCTAAGTGTACCTACTCTGATTGTTCACTTGGAAACTAGGGAGGTAGGCAGAGGTGGGTGTGGCTCCATTGGATCACTGTGAGATGAATTTGGACCATATGGTCTCCATGAACTCTCACTTTTCCTAGAGGTTCTGACAGTCCTTTTGGTTTCTTAGTACTGGGATCAGCTCAGACCCTGTATCCCATAAACCTGGAAATGCCTTTTGTCAATGTACAGTTTTTCCACAAGTGGTTGCATGTCCTTTCGGGGAATGACTAGGGACTATGTAGTATATATACTTATGTCAGAGAATAGGATATTTTGATATACAGGGTATTTACTTAGCTTCCTCTTCAAACGATGAGTTCTGGGTCTGAGAACTCAATCTGTAAACTGAGTGAGAGGTTGCCACTTTCCATTGAGACAGCTGGTATCATAGCCTTCTGCTCACCAGCTGTCGATGTTTTCTGATTATACATATAGGTCAAACAACACCATAGTGGATGCTCATTTAACTTGCCCCAAGGAACTCTATAGTCTATTAGCCATTATCACAGAGCCCTGTGGGTGAAGGCATTCTGGATGCCACTCTGGCTTTGCAGCTTGTTATTGTAATTATGTCTACTTTCCTCTGACAATGAAGTGCTGCCATCTGGCCTCTGCTATTCTGGGATCTTATTAATCCAGTTGGTATTAGGAAGTCCAGTTTCACAATTACCCCTCCTGTTGTCAACTATAATGGATACCTACCACTGAGTTTCTCATAGATATGAATAACGCCCTCACCAGTACTGAAGCCATATGGGAAGGTCCTGATCTCACATCCTGAAGTCTCAATATGAGCACCAGGCATATACATGCATGCCCATGAGGCCGGGTTTACATCGTGGCATGAAGATCCTGCTGGAGGTACCTGTCTCTCTGTGTGTCTCTCTCTTGTGAAAGAAAAAAATTATTATTTTTTAAAAAGAAATAGTAAAAGTTAAAAGATTAAAAAAAACTGTACAAGGGAGTAAGAAAAAAACAGGTTAATGGAAAATTAGTATTATTTTTTAAAAAACATGGATCTCAAAAATTTTTGTGCCAAAATAAACCTGTACTTTAATTCCACTTTTCATTAACTTTTTGAAGTCTCCTCATATATACTCTGGAATTTACGATAATGGCCACATACAAAAAGAATGCAAATAGGCCAAGAAAAGATAAAACAGAAATAGTTGTTTAAGTAAAAGGAATACAGATAGAATTATCTGGAAATGGATAATAATAAATTTCTATTCAATAAAAGCAACAACAAAACAAAACAAGAGTTGATGTCCTATCCTATTCATGTGCCAACACTTGGGACGTCATTTTGTACCTGTTAAAAACCTTTACCAGAGTAAAGCCTTAGTGCTGTGGTGGCCATCTCTCCCAGCAACCAGGGAGAGCCCACCTGAGAAGGAGCCCATGTGCAGAGAAAAGCAGGGGGAGCTGGAGGATAAGACAGTCTTGAAAAGTCAGCTCTGACCTCTTTGATACCTAGGAATTGTTAATTCCTCAATTTCCTTCTCCATAAGGTGGTTTTTTTTTTTTTTTTGCCTTCACTAATTTGAGTCAGGCTTGTGAACTTGCAATGAAAAGGCACCACTACCACCATTAAACAGAAACTAAAACAGTTGGTTTGTCACACTCAGGAGTGTCTCAGTGTTGGATGTCTTGAATTCAATTAAAGGTAATTAGGTCCTTTGCTTAATCTTTGAGTGGCATTCCCCTATTCAAACTCCCCACTACTAGTGATTTTCTCTCTGCATTTGACTATTGCCTCTTGTTTCTTTTACAGCTGCACTTGAAATCTGGGCCAATCCCAGCTTTTTCGTTTTACACACGGCATAATCATTTTGTTTCTAACCTCTTTCACATATAACCTTTCAAAAGCTGCTTTCTGTGTTGTTGGCATTGAGCCAATTTATCCTCTACAAATTTTGTATTTCTAAGCCTTAAGGTTACAACAAGCCATATTGTTGTGCAGCTTCTTATACAGGATGTGAATTTAAAGAGAACGTGAGTCTCTGAGACTGCAATTCTCAGGTATTAAAAATAACAATACAGAGGCAGAAGAAGCCGGGCCTTCAGAAGAAGGTTTCACATGGCTCCAGCAAACTAGATTTTTCAGCGAATGAAGATTTTCTACTGATAATTCAGCCTCCAACAAACAAGCTAGCGGTAGGGAACCCCCCACCCACACCCCCAGCCTTCTATCTCTGTTTCTCTGTCTCAGTTCCTGTCTCTCCCTCTTCTGTCTCCCCCCCCCCTTTTTTTTTTTTTTTTTTTTTTTTTTTTTTTTTCTCTTTTT